AATCGAGTTTTTGTCATTCTGAGGGTTAGTAGGTTTCTGCATGACTTGGCCTACTTGAGGAATTGTTCAGTACAAAAGGGAACTATGCCAGAAAACGTTAAAAAATAAGATTTTTATTAATTCTGACACCTCTCGGTGTTTCGTTATTATTCTTTGATTTAGAACTACGTGACAACATTCCTGTCTGTACCTACTTTGATTGTATTTATATACAATCGTAACACAGTATGATGTAGACTACTTTTCATAAAAGCCATAATATTTCTCAACGTTACTGTTGTGGCATAGCTCCCTCTTGCACTGAATCCCTCAACTTTCTAACCTGCAATTACGTCTAAGATGTTTTTTGGGTCCAAAGTAAAATAAAATTCGTACTGTTTCTCGCGAAATGTTTTACTATATTGTGTTTGTAACACTCACATTTACGATAAATGCATAATATCTGTCGGCTACTAATTAAACAACCTTGTTGAGCTTTAAGGCTGAATTTAGCAGATCAATGATGAAAAAGATTGTAAAGGTTTCGAGGTATAATCTGGTTTGTATTACAGTAATTGATTACTTAGTACGATTTTTTACAATCAATTCAGGATATCCTGGGTTTGATTGTGACAAATATTAATTACATGCATTTTTAGAGATTTGTATTCCGCCCAGTACACCGTGGTTGTTTTTAACATTTTCTGTGAATATATACAGGGTGTCCCAAAATAGTTGTAAGTCCTTAAAAGGGGCGATTCCTGGGGTGATTTGAAACAACTTTTTCCTTAGCAAAAGAGTTTCCCGAGGCTCAGTTAAAGAGTTATTAACGAAAAACTCTGACCAATCAGAGCGCGAGTCTGCCGACTGAGCTCCTGTGGTAACGTTGGCTACGCGCTACCGCGGGAGTTCAGCCGGCAGCTCGCACTCTGATTGGTCAGGGTTTTCCGTTAATATTTCGTTAACCAATCCTCGGAGAACTTTTTCGCTAAGGAAAAGGTTGTTTCAAATCACGTCAGGAATCACCCCTTTTAAGGCCTGGCACCTATTTTGGAATACCCTATATACATACACATTGTTATATTAGGCAATAAAATAATACACGTTTAACACATCGTATATATTAGTTTTATGCAAATGTAATGAGCATTTTTCCGTGAAAATTTTTAGTGATATTGAACAATATATTAACCATTTTTCTGGCAAAAGTTCAATAGGCTGTTGAGAATAGAAAATAAAACTACGTCTAATATTTAGATGAATTGTTTTATCATTTTTCAGTGCCAAATTCACCCTTGAAGTTGGGTGTATTTATTATATTCTATTATAGTTACAAGAAGTATTCGAGGCGTTTTTAAAGTATTTGATGTTTTTGGAAGATTGAATTAGCGCACTCTGGCGATGAAGTATGTTCGATAAAATATAATTTTCAATTGAAATGTTTTTAGAAGAGTGATAGTTGTACCCATTAGATATTCGCAACAGTTGGTCTAGTTTTCACACCTCCATTAATTTAGCGTATAAACCTTATGTTTATCAATGCTTAAGCACTCACTACTCGCCTATATCAGGTTTTCGAAATTTTTCCTTCACTGTTGTACACAAATACACACATATAAGTTTCCGCACAAGACTCACTAATAATCAGTATGCGAAAATACAAATTTACGGAATATAAAAAGAAAGAAACTAATATTAAAGTGTAAAAATGAAAGTATATTTGTGTATTGCGAAAACATCAGCCCAGCTTTTAAAATATGTAACTATTTGTCGACGCGGAATACGTAGATAACCGTAAGAAACTGACCTTCTTTGGGAAAGTTATCTATTTTTGTGCGTGTTCGAAGGGGGAGGGGATTTTGGGAACCATTTATCGGCTGAAGGTAAGGGTTTGATGCGTTTTGTACCTGTAAAGGTTCTTGCGATGAGAAAATTAGTCCAACTGTTGCATATAAATCATTATAGGGTACTTGGCCCATTGCAAGCAATTATGGGAGCTTTTCCGTAAAATGAAAAGTAACTTGTATCTAAATATTTTAATTCTATAAATTTCTGTAGTAACTTTTGCCATTATTTAAATATATTGAATCGGTTTATCAAATGTGTTCAACATTCCTAGGAAGATTGTGCACATTTGATAAACTGGATTTAGTACTTTGTATCAAGAACAATCAGATAATCAATTATAATTAATATATTTATAGAATTACACAAGGAGAAAATATCAACTGTAGTGCGTTGACAAAAATTTTATAATTTATCTGACATAAGGATGAATATAAGAAGAGGGATTGATTGTTATTATAAAAGTTGTCAAATGTGCAGTGTTTGAGTCGATAGATTTTTATGCGAATGCAATGAATAAAGTGTTAACAAACCTAAATTACAAAGTGCTCCATACTGCGGGCGGTATATTATGAAATAATTCAAACATTTGCTCACGTTACATCATTATATAGGGTAAACAAAAAAAGGACAGAACTTTCCCACATATTTAACACATAAATTATATCTTGTTAAGTACTTCATAATATGAAATTTGCTGTATGTATTCAGAAATCCGCCGACAGGTACTCTCATGATTACACAAGCAATATTGTATGATTAATTTGAAAGTTTCAAGACGAAAATACGCGGATGCGTTACGAGGACGAGGATCTATAGCGTTTAGAAAAAGAGTAGTGTTTATTGCTATGAAGATCTTATTGCATTTTTAGCTATTCGATGACATTAGTTTTTTCACGCGTCGATTGTCATCGATTGTCAGATTTTAATATAAAATTATATCATATAATAAAAATACGTGTTAGATTAAATTTCTTGTACGAAGTTTCTTCACAAGTTTATTTACTATAAATGAATTTTGTCCAAGAAAATCATTAGTTATCGTCAGAAATACACTTTCCAAAATGGAATTTATACACTTTACGACTCGACGTTTAGTATTTTGCAAACGTACGAGATTCATTCACAATACAGTTTCCTTACATTTCTTAAAATTGCAGTAAAGTTTTGATTGTAAATATTTTTTGAGAGACATTTAAGGCAAGGATGTATAGGCTCTCCCAATATACACGGTTGCATAGAGTATAATAAATTTTGAATAACGTGTCATTGTATTATTTTTATAATATTTTGACTATCAAACCAATGTTCATAAGGAATATCACGAGATCAAAAGTTGATCGTTCAAGTTACGATCGTTGATGCTATAACAGTTATAATGTTGATTATTTAAGTTGCAAAAGTTATAAGAGCATAAAAGACGGTAACCATGGAAAGCAAAATTCTTTTTGGTACATATATTTTTAAATTTTTCAAATTGTATGAAATATATCTCAAGTGTTTTGTCAATGGTTTACATTAACATTAAAACTACCAGCGTTGGATATACATATACAAAATTAAACTGTATAATGTAGTAGTATGCATAATATACAATACAATATGTAATATAACGTAACAATGTGTACAATAAATTAAAAGTTAAGATATGTGTACTCCGACGTTAGCACCTTTATAATTTCTGTAATAGTAAAATAAGGAATCTAATATTCATCATGTTGTTCTGTTTGGTATAATTTTATAGCTCGAATTTGAAAATACTGTCACCCGTGTACAAGGTTGAGCTCATACTATCAGCAGTCGTGTACATGTATGTACTATACCGCGTATTTTCGGGAACTCGGTACAGTGTCCCATTTCAGCCGATCCCCTTGAATATCTCCGAAATTATACATGACAAAGAAAATGTTTCGAAAAAAAGTTAAATAGTTTCGAGGGGGCCATAATTGGATGTCAATAGTTTTTTTTTTATAAATAAAGGCTTAGAAAACATAGCAAGGTCAACTTTGTTCTTTTAATGGAACCATATACTTTTTAGTACATTGCTCGATATAATTCATCATTCTCCGTAAAAAATTATTAACCTATTTATTTATATATATTTTAGTTTAAAAATTTCACGCGATACTACGCACGATATCTAAAATTTACCGTTGAACTTACGACGGTAAACATCGTACTACTACATAGTACCACTTCTCAATTCTGAAATTAAAATATCTCCTAAACTAATAGTTTTTCGATACACAAAGTTAATAATTTGTTACAGGGAACGATGAGCTCCATTGGTCAATATATTAAAAAACATATGGTTTCGTTCTAAAAAACAAAGTTGACCTTCATATGTCGTCTACGCATCCACCTACAAAGAAACTATTTCCATCAAATTATGTCCCCCTCGAAACCATATAACTTTTGTTCAAAACATTTTCCGGTATCACGAAAAATTTAGGAGATATTCAGGGGGATCAACTGAAATGGGTCACCCTGTATAGTCTGTCGAAAATCTTCGAATTTTCAAGCGACATTCGCATTAGACACTCGGTGCCCCAGTTCAGGTTGAAAATCCGCTAGACTGTGACGAAAGAATGGGAATAGAGAATAATTCCGTACTTTTGGGGGGCGGGGGGCGGGCGGAGGGAGGCGCCTGTGCAACGATGACGCGGCTTGGCGCGAGTAAACGTCGGGTTGCAAGCGGCACAGGCGTCGTCGCGCGTTTATCATCTACAGAGCGTCGCGTCTACCTGTCACACGCGATATAAAACGTTGTGCGCTTAAAGTGCTTTCATCTTTATAACTGCTATGGACGGATGTATACACGCGTCGATCATTTCAATCGGGGGATCGTGCCGCCGGTTTTCGAAATCACATCACCTCTGTGGATCGATGAAATCACGCCGATCGATAAACGAACCCCTTATTTTGATTCCCCTGTGTGCCCCCCCTCGAAAGGGAATCCTGAAAACAATACGTGGAAATGTTTGACACAGATCGATAGGGGGGAGCATCGAGTATCGTCGGTGACAATCAATGATCGCGAATACGGGCAGTGACTTTTTCAATTCCGTACGATTTGATTTCCACTTTGAACTTTCGTTTCGACCGAGAATCCCTCGGCCGCCGCAAACCCCTGCAGCACAAGTAATTACAATGCTTAGCGTCCTCGTTGCGTTAATTTAAAAGAGAGTCATTGTTTCTTTCCATGAGCCACCTCCTGACTCCAAGCTTTTGTGGTTCGCGTGAGGTTCTCTTCTGCAGAGTTGAGAAGATCGAGAAATCGTCGATCTTCGATGTCCACCGAGAGCGTAGTGGAAGTCTTGCAAATAGGCGAGGAGCTGTGGCATCGTCGGCCGATCACGGAACAAGCCTAGCCAACAGACCGCCATCACGGCGAATAGCTCATCTGGACATGGCCTAGGCTGCGCTAATCGATAACCATCACGAAGACAGGCCATCATTTCGAACGGGTCCACTTCGAGGTACGGCTGCTGGCCTAGTGTCGCTAGCTCCCAGAGAAACACACCGAATGACCACTAGAAGAGAAAGATAAAAGGTGGTTACTAGACAAATTGCTGTGCTTCCATCTGTTGATTGGGATTTTTGTTTGTTTTTCGGAGCAAGAATTTTCTTTTGTGTAGTATTATGAGTAGAACTAATAAGTGTGCGTACCACTCACAATTATTAGGACACCTGGTTTGTACTAAGAAAGTGTGATTCTTTGTTCAAATTATATATTTTAGGCCACTTTCCTTACTTTATAGTAGCATAAGCGTTCTGCAGCTAGCTTTGACATCCCCCGAGCAATATTTATTTTAGACTTTCAACAATTTCGTAATGCGTTGTAACATTTACTGCATATTCCATGTGTCCTAACACTTATGAGCGGGAGTGTACATAGTGTGTGCATGGAGTGGAGAGAAGATAAATACAGAGGTTGGTGGGATTCAATAGATGAGAGCTACAGATCCTGTGTATTTCTATTTATATGAAATGATCCTCTTGTATAATGTTTCGTACAATATTGTATAATTTACCATGAAGGAATCCTGACAGTTGACATCACTCAAAACGTATTCTGAAAGTACTGCAGAATTCCATTTATCTGATCGCGTCGGCAGACAAAACAGTTCATATAAATGGATCATTCATATAACAAGAGTTCACTGATTTTCGCTACTATCTGTTATTTTTCGTACAAATAACCAGAGTTTATGTTCGGATCGAACGACGTTCAGTAGACTGGAATGTTTCACACCTTATAAGATTGAAAATAAATCTGTGGGAGCAATAATTGTGTAATCTTTGGTGAATTAATTATAATTGTGATTTACATAACATGATTACGACTTTTTAAACTCGTCGATGTAGCGATTACATTTTAGCCGTTGCAGATGTTCATATGTATAACAGGAGTGACGGTAGTAGTTTAGATAATAGATGAGTAAAATGGACAGTAACTAAAATTTCATTGCAATAAATGGAGTTCTACTATATGTTATGTTCCAGATATGCAGTAGCTTTATGATTATAAGGTTTCTTAAAAGTATTCAAAATTACGAATAAAATAGAATCGGGCTCTGAAGGCATATCTAAAATTCATTGAAATAAACAAAATCCTTTTGAAATAGGTGTTAATAAATATCAGTTAAAGCATACCAAGTTGAGTATAATAAAAATATATTACCAGAATAAAAATAGGTAAAGCTAGGACAGAACGGTGATACTTGAAAAAATTTTCGAAACAATTTTTATTCACGATAGAACGCAGGCAAATATTTAGATTTGTTGTTCGAGAAAACCAAATTCAAAGGTATGTCGACAGTTTAGGACTGACTAGCGTGTCTGTTTATTATTAGTTATTTCTACTTGTAGTAAATATAAAGAATGGTGTTCCATTATTTGCTTTTCATTCATGTTACTGGTTTGTAGTTATTAATAAATTTTGACAGAAAATGTATCAATACTATATAATACTTTCTGTTTGAAAACAGTACCATAGATAAAAACAATCATTACTGGAATATTTAACTTGATAGTCATAGGCATATTTAAGGAATTTTTGAACGAAGCCTCACACGAGAAAAGTTTGTTCTACAATTTTAATTTAATTCACAGATAAAATTATCTTTCTGTCAGCTGTGCCATGAATTTTCCTATAGGCTCTATATTCTAATAGCCTTACCGAATTTTAATCTGCCAAGTCTGTCGTGATTTCAATTAAACATATTAGTTGTTTCGCTATACATAAATCAATAGTTTCTTTTCCATTTCTACCAGTGTATTTTATAAACCCATAAAATTTTTATCTAAACGCTATTCATACCCTGTACTTTACTACCGTCGAGTTCTTAGACCACTAAAGTACCGGGTGGACAACGAGATTCTCGCATCAGATAACGATGCATCAAGTTATGGATGCTACCAGGCGCATAAAGTCTCCATATAACGCGTTATAGTTCGACAAGCTCGAAGTACACGTGGCCCCTGGAACACCGGAACTCCCGTTTGGTTCTGAATTTTATTGGAAGCCGATCGCTGGTTGTCTCCAGCAGACACCGAGGTGTCAACGCTTTATTGGCATTCGATACAAATTATGACCGTACCACGTCCGTAGCCGTGCTGTATTGATTGTGCTGGAGTGTTTCCAAGGCCATCCAACGAATGGGCCTGTTCTCGTTATCGCCAAGACAATGGTAATCCTGAGGGAACAGATCCCGCGCCAGAGCAGTGTCAGCTAGTCGCACCCGGAGACTGCTTGGCTCGATCAGGCAGTTTCGGGCGGCGATGTCCCTGTGAACGAACGGTCTGTTACATAATTTCGTATATATTTGTACACTTAACAATACTGCAGAATGTATTGGGGTGGTAAGAAATTAACCCTCTATAGTTCGAATTTTTTTCGTGACTACACAAAAATGTATGTAACATGGAACCAACAGATATCAACCTCCAAATACAAATTAACAACGAATTTACAATTTTCAAAGGTTTCATTATTATTCCGATATCTCAAGTTAGAATTGACAATCGTTACAAAAAGGCTTTTCAGTTGCCAAAGAGATGTTATAGAATACGATGTGTATCCACATAGTGGCAAGAATTAAAATTAGACCAAAAAAATGTTGATATATTGATATGTGATTTTAATCTCACACGGGGCTATAGAGAGTTAATGTTGGTTTTTGAGTTTCCAAACTTTGACGCTTAGTTTTGCGAAAACAACTCACTTCATTCTGTGAGTTTGTAATATTATTTTACAGTACAGATGTCGCTTTACATACGGGTAAGTATGCTTTCATTTTATGATGAAGGCTTTATGATGGACAGAAAATAAGTTCGTATAATTTTTTTATATGAGTATGAACCTGGTCATAAAGCTGTGCAAATAGCTTGTAATATTAACGGTACATTTTAACAAGATACTGTGAATGAATGCACAGTGCAATGGTGGTTCAAAAAATTTTGAAACGGAGATGAGAGCCTCGAAGATTGAGAAGATCATCGACAACCTTTTGTTCTTGACAACGACCATTTGAAGGTACTGGTTGAAGCCAATTCACGCACAACGGTTCGACAACTTGCATAGGAGGTGGGTATAAGTCACCCAACTGTTATTAATCACCTGAGGCACCCAGGAAAGTCAAAGAAGATCTGTGGTTTTAAAGATAAAGTTTGAGAAATGACAGTTGGTCGTTGTGGTTTCATCAATTTAGGTTAAATGTAAGAAATTAGTACAAAACATCTCTCCATATCATTTATTAAGAACATGTTATTACTAAAATAGTGCAGTAAAATGAATTGTCAAGAATCTGGATATTTATGCACAAATAACGTAAAAATTTAAGTGTCTCGTAGAATCATTCCGGACTTTACGTCCCAAACATAGTCCCACAATAATAGGGTTAAGTATAGGATATGGAGTACCAATTATATAACAATAATGATTGATAAAAATATTTTACGACCATGTTATATTTTGGATAGAACTCGCAAGCAGGGTCCGACTTTAATGTAAACTAAACAAGATAAGGATATTTCATCGCAAAAACAATATACACTGCATGGCATAACTATAAAACCATCTTAAAATTTTCAATTCTTATGTATTATGATTGAAATAAAAAAGAAACGAAGTATGCCATTTCTGAAATCGTGTTGCGAAATAATGTTTCTCCAGAAAAGGATAGATTATATTCCATAGGAAAAAGTGGTTTGAATTTTTGGGTGGTTTTTTAGTTATGCCACGCAATGTATAAAGACCGAGCGCATTCATTCTTATTTCTCAATTCAGTCGCCATCAAGAAGTCTACTAGTCATATCAGTAGTGTATAAGCTTAGTATTAGTTGTATTATTAATTTATTACAGTGTTTTGTTAGGGAAGTTGTAAGTGTGTTTTGTAAAAAATCTTTCACGGTTTTCACTTTTAACAAACTGTAAAACAGGCAATTACCTGTGCAGAAGTCCCCGGCCGTGCATGAACGCCCCTGCCCTAGCAACCTGCGCGCCAACGTTCACCAAGTCCCTGGTCACAGGATGGTGATTCCCGTCGGTAAGGTATAACTTTAAATTCAGCTCGCCAGGTGTACTTGTGTACGCCAGCAACGGACACGAGCTATCCAGACAGGCGGCCGCGAGCGGCGCAATGTTTGCATGCACCAGTCCTGCCAGCTGGGAGCCCTCCACCACTAACAATGACGCCTGATAAGCCGACGCCACTTCTAAAATTTCCAAGTTTTCACGTTAGTTCGACACACCTGAAACTCCTTTCCAACGCTTGAAACTTTGAAATTCAAGGCATGCCTCGCTGGTTACTGTTCAACGTTTCTAAATGATTATAATTTCAGGGCAGGTCTTCTTGCATTGATAAGCGAATATTTGATTATGCTTGTTTGTTTAGAAGTGATTTAAATTTCAACGCAGTTTGTGAGTTTTCGGCAGTTGGTATAGGATTCTCTACTTTATCGCGTGCCGTTACTCGAGAGCACTTCTGTTCGAGTTACTAAACTTGAACAGCGGGATATCTGTGTCTGAATGTTCTTTAGGATTATTCTGAATGTATTTGATTAGGTAGAATTTCAGAAGATTTTGCGAATTTGTTTTAACAAGGAATATTTGAGAATGTTCGCAACTATTTATGAAATTCTTGTGTAATTTGTTCGAATATATAAATAGTTCACACGAGTATATGTAAAATTATAGAGCCCGAAAGTTGACTTTGTATTAATATTATACTTTGAATTATAAGTTGTAATATATACACGTTATATTACACTTTATTCTTTTATTCTACATTATGTCGTATGATAGCTGATACATGGTTGATAAGAAATTAATAAAGTAGTGTAAATGAGAAACACTATAGAGATTCAATGCATTTTTATTTCATTAACTCATATTTCGTAATAGAATATCTGTATTAGTAGGTCATTAGAACATGTTTTTTACTGTCATACTTTCACAAATTCCTTTATTCAAGGACATCTCAATGGTCTTCTCTGAGCATACACATATTTATTATGTTTCTTTTATATTTATCACTTAGTTCATCTAGTTCGCCTTTGGAAGATTAATGTGAAAAGAAGAAACAATTATTACAAGAGCAAAGTAAAATTTTTGTAGAAATTCAATTTTTATTCACTATGGATTAGAAATTCTCTAACAGAGGATATAAGAAAAAAGTTTTATCGAATTAATACTCATTTTCATACATCATCATCCATAAAGCTTTACATCACTGGCTTCTAATTAGACTTTCTTCGAGCTTTATTATTTTAACTTTAAGTATATTTGTTAAGACCGCTCCTTTCTTTTCAACAAGGTTTCAGAAATAACAAATAAATATTCTTGAACTTGTATTATTATTTTGCAAAAACTCTGTTTTCCAAAAACGACATACTAAAAAAGTACTATCTATTATTATATTCATTGTAATTTTTCGTACATTCACATGCACCGTAAATGCATAAAACTCATTTCCCGTTTATAAACACATTCACTTCCGGTCGTATTTCAGCTGACATTGTCCTCTTTTTAATTTAATTAATCCAATTTGAAATAACGGTCACCTGTGACTGACGAGGCTTAAATGGAAAGCTTAGTGACTGTTCCAACGGTGAATGTGTTAAAATAAATCCGTATATGAATTGGTCAATAACTTCCTTATATGTAGGTGTCACACTATATTATATCCTTACCTGTCACTGTTTTTATGATGACTTCCTGTTCACGACCAGCCAGCTCCAAGGTGCCCTTGTAAACGCGGCCGAAGGTGCCCTCCTGCACAAGATTGCGACAGTACATCGCGGACCTGGACACAGCAAGTGCTCTGGCCTTCTCGCAAGGATCGTTCGTCTGTAAATAACCAAACCGGAAACGTTACGGTTATTGAAACCAGTAGTCGAGTATAGTCATTGCAAAATGTATTCGTACAGCCACCTCGTAAAATGTTTTTTCCATTGACCACAGGAATCTTTTTTTCTTTTACAAACTAGCCGAACCTCTTTATAGAAGCTTGATGAACAGAAGACTTAATGTTGTTTCAGGGTTATAGGAAACGTCTCCAACCTCATATAGTCAACGTTAGTCCTATCGAAAAATTTTTCATAAGTACCAACAATTTCCTTATATCTACTTGTATTTACTACCATATCTACTACTATAATTCTCAAAACATACAGGAAAATAAGAAAACACAAAGAAACATTGAAGGGTTGTTTTCACCCAAACGAGTCAAGAACTAGCAAAAAAAAATTGCCTGATACTTCTATTTGTGTCCCTTACAAATCTGCAAAGTCCGATCGAGTAGTATCGAGCACTGTCCGGACCCCGTATCTGACTCAGTTGGCTCATACTTCACTCATACCGCCACTTTTCTGGCCGCTAATTTCATGTGTTCGCTACATCCTACCCATCAAAATGATTCCGACACAATCCTCCAACATTCCCTGGTCCTCGATCGCCGCGTCCAGCTTGCATAATTCATCGCGGAACAAAATCTCTTCGCGAAGAGTAGGAGGTTTGTGTCTGTGTGGCGGGAAGGGGGAGGAGGTGGTGGATCGCAGGAACTCATTAAAAAAGCATTTGTCGCCTGTAACAGGACACGAAGGAGTTAGCGAAGTCCCCGAACTACGGGCGGCAAGAAGGGAAGAAGGAAGGACGAACCCTCGGTCCCTGTGTCGTCGTTATATCGTCGTTCCCATCGCATGCCACGTTTCCCTTTTGTCCCGCGACTGGGGGGGGGGGGGGGGCGGACGGTTATTCATTAATTTCAATTTTCCGGAGTTTTGCCTCCAGCCCCTCCTATTCCATTTGGACGGGCTTATGCGTCGCGGCTCGGCCAACGTGCGTGCACGCATGTGCGAGAGAGAGAGAGAAAGGAAAAAAAGGAAGAGGAGGAGACAGAAGACGGCCGCGAAACCAGCTCGGAACGCATTAGCGCGGCGCAAATTACAGGACGATGTATTGGATTCAGAAAGGGGTACGACGATCGAGATAGGGGAGGTGGGGCTTGGAAGGGATGGGATCGTGGGGGTTGGACGGAATCGTGGTCGGGATCATTTGGCGAAACTCGGGAGGCCAGAGTGGGCGCGATCGAATATTTTTATATTGAAATGCGAGGGCTCGGTGTGGGAAGATGGAGATGAGCTGCGGAGAGCGAAATTGGAATAATTGGAGTACTTCTTTCGGAAGTGATAGTTCATTTGTGTACACATTTTGTTGAATTGAATGGACAGTTTTCACGTAGTTTTGTTGTTAGATGTGATTGAGTGTTTCGATAATATACGGTACGTCTCATAGTTATAAAATTATCTTGAAATTTTCGATTCATATACACTATATGTATAGTAATTCCTCGATGTGTGTGGCACGAGCAACGACGTTAGTCCCACCACTGGGGAGGGGTGCCCCTCTAAAATCAATCAAAACAGAGTGGATAAAAGTTAAGCAGAGGCTCGACTTTGAGTAAGCAACAAATTTATGAGGGGCTGAAAATCTTTGCGCCTTCCTATGAATGCACCGAAGCGGACCTGAGTACGTCGCATTCATCCAGACATTACTGTATTTTGCAGTTAAGATTCAATTGAATCAAGTATTTGCGTATGTTGGAGCATATGCTAAAGTAGTGTTCCACTGGAAAATAAAAGAAATATATTTTTCTGCACCTGTACGTTTCGTTATTGTTTCACAGCCACTCAATCGAAGCAGCGGGTAATACAACCAGGCAGTATGTAATTCTATAAGACAAAATAAGTCGAAAGAAAAAAATAACATTCATTCTGGTGATGCTTCGTTTTCGAGATAGTCAAAGTTGTTGGATACATGTTCTACTGATTGCCAACACGAATGCACACGTTTCAGGTAAATGGTCAAACTCAATTGTCTCGAAAACGAAACCTTAAACGAATAAAATTTATTCTTTCTTTCGACTTATTTTTTTCTTATAGAATCACCTCCTGCCCGGTTATACTACACGACCTGAAACACCCTGTATATGTAAGATTAGAAGTTTCAGACAGTTTTGTAGTTTTAAAACGGACTGTACGATTAGGACATTTTAAACTTCATCATTCGAGTAATGATGCGACGAGTGAGAGCAATTGTCACTTTAAAAATCGTCTGTGTTTAGTACTCTTGGCTGCGTAGAACGTATCCTCCTAATGGAAATCTCTGAGACCATATTAAATACATTCAAATCTTACTGACACCTTCTCTATACATTTCATAAATATTGTTTATTGTTTATGTAACAACAGTGTCGATCAGTAATATTTTTTCTAATCAGAAAAATTTCTGAAACTCAATTAAGCAATGCGTGACGAACAATTTTATTACCTGGCGTTTTCGGATGAATTTTGTAACGAGAAAACCACCAGGAATCTGAAAATCCAATTGTAGAGGAAGCATATGATGGAATACTAGATGAGATGATGCAAGTAATAGAATTATGTGATTCAATGTTACAGTGACATCGTTAGTAAACGTGAAAACTTTCCGTTCAACCCAATATGTAATTAATGTATTATATTACGCTTATTTTATTATACTTCAATTTGGTAATACTTTAATTTGTCTCATTGAATTAGTTGGTTTTATGGATTCACGCTTGACTTAATAATCCTCCTAGCTAAAAAGTTTGTACAGAATTAAAAATTATTGCAATACTATTTGATCTAAATGTTGGAATAAAAATTTACTATGTTACTTTATCCGACTGAGAGTTTTTATTATAATAAAAGTTCACATAAAAGTTTTGATCTGAATAACAATTTATCGATAAGCATTCTTCCAAAGCTCGGAAATGGAATTACATTTCTAGAACGGAATACATTTCCTGATATCGAACAATTTTGTATATTGAAATGGAAATGTCAAGATTCTATTGGGTTGAGTCATAAATAAATTACGGATTGTATGAGCTTATACCATATATAACAAAATTAATAAAATAAGTAATTCGTTTTTACCAGAACAGAATCCTTAAAAAACGGAATAAATTTTTTATTTCTATTTACCTCTGTACATTATTCTAAAGGAATTATAATTTTACACGAAGACCCGTAATCGTCATAAACAAATTGCACTACTTTCTAAGTTTTATTTGATTTATAATGAATCTTTATCTACTTCTTATTCGTCATTACGTTTAAAAATTTTAATTCACGAATTTTTAGTATCTATTTATATTTTTTTAATGATTATTTAATAAATTGTCGTCTCCGGTTACTGCACTTAGTTCAGCACGAAGGAAGTCATTGTCAACAGCCGTTTTACTTTTCATAATAACGAAATTATCGCACTCCGTTAAGTGCTGGCAACCGCGGTCGCGGATATGCGATTATCAGTCAAACAATGGTTCAGCTTCCCTACCTATTTGTATTCAAAAGCGTATTTCGTGCGGCATTTTATTCGTCGTTCGCTGCTGTCGTCGAATTCAAATTGTTTCAACACGTTTTCATTAACAAACGAAAGAGGAATAAACGAATGGTCTATACCACGATTCTGGCGCAATAAAAATGGAGAGGAAGGAGACGAGAACACGAAATTGGCGAATAGAATGAAGTACGCAAAATAAAAGGAAAGAAGGAAAAAATATTGGAAACAATAGTACCTATCGCTTTATCCCTCACTTTCGTAATAATAGTGTTAAAAGTAATATAAAAGATTTGATCACGATTAATTTTTTTATTTAATTGTGTTCTGCACAAACGTGTATTTATAAATGCATTAAATCTGAAGCGTACTAGTGATTCATGTTTACAATAAGTAGAAACAGTAAGTAATACGCAGCCATGTTAACCAAATAATATCTGATAGCACGTTTATCCGACAAATAATACTAATTACCTGTTCCAGGAAAGGAGCTCTTTGTAGAAAAATTTCACTTTATGTTTTTGATTTATTTATGTATGAAAAATTGCTTCTTTCACTGTTTCATCACCACTATGGAACACTATATGTATACATGTACATATACCTATACACACATGTATGTATGTATTAAACATATCATTTTGGTGAAAAAGAATGGATTTGTTGGTACTGTTCTTTCTTGTATGTTGCTTTTTATTGATTATTGTTTAGTAGCGAATAAGACATAAATTCGACTAATGTTTCGCCACGAACAAATGATTATCGCAGTTGAACATTATTCGTTGTGTTCTTAATGGCACGTTCGTTTGGGCTTGTTTAATAGAAATGTAATATTTCATCTCCATCAGAGTTTTTGATTTTTATTACTTTACTTCAAACATCTGTGGTGATCATTGTTTACAAAAAATCATAAAATAGCGCCGTTCGATTGCTGATTCGAGATCTTACATAGCAATTGACACGATATTGTGATCGTTTACTACTGGGCTTGAGAATTTCTGACTACCACCACGCAATGATAGGTCTAGCGATGCGACGCCATAGGGGGCAAGAAAGCGCTACCTGGAAAGAAATACGGTACAGGTAACCTCTGTATAACACATAGTATTAAGTTCTTGAAACTTGTCGTATTATGTGAATTTGTCAAATATGAAATTAAGAATTAGAACTAACATACCGAATTTATAAACATACGAAAAATAGGGTTAGGTTCGAAGATCTAACAAAATCTGACTATTCTACACAAGTCTCTAACTGTATTAGAGTAAAACCCTGTTACTAAGAGGTTGTCTACTCTTTTTCTGACTAAAACAAAAATTAAACTACCTATTTCATACAAAACGTCTTACTCACTAAACACTTAACACCTTGCCTTATAATATCGAGTCAGACTCCTGCTGACGATTTCAAATTGGACTTAACCAACGTGAATATTTCTCGTTTTCTCTAAGTCAAAACGCAATAGTATTTTGTTGGTATTA